TTTGCTGGGATCCTGGAGGGTTTTTTTGCCATCTTCTGGGCATGGAGCAGGGGTCACTGGGGGAGGGGAGGTATTTGTGAATTTCCTGCCTTGTGCAAGGGGTTGGACTAGATGACCCTGGAGGTCCCTTCCAGCTCTATGATTCTGTGATCCTTCTGCACTTCCCTTTGTCTTTGCAGCATTGAAAGAACTGGTGAGTGCATAAAAACAAAGATTCTGGTGCTTGTTCCTGCTCTACTTAGTTACTTTCCTTCTTTCCTTTCAGATTCCCCGGTTCACACCAATTCAGCTCCTGCAAATCTGGCACCAGCCCCTCCCCCAGGGCACTCCATGGTCGGCCAGCCCAGCTCCCTTGAGGCCCCCCTCAGTGCTTCGAGGACCGTCTCCTCCCCAATGAACTCAGTAGGGTCCAGCCATTCCTTGGGCTCTCCGTACAGAGTCATCACATCTTCGATTGGATCACAGCCCATCCCTTTGTCTTCACCGCCAGGCATGCATTTCTCTGCGCATTCCAGCCCTCAGGTAGGTACCCCCTTCTGTCCTTCTTGAGGGGTCAGTGCAGTAAGCTGAGTTTGGTATTAATATTTCATGACCAGCTGCTTTGCGTCCACAGTTAGGCACCTTTTTGAACCATGTCAGAGCTTCCTCTGCTGCCTCCCACAATCAGGAAAAAAAAACACCTGTAGACATTTATCTGCTATTCTGACATATTTATTGCTTTACAACTGTTGGCCTTATAACCTTAACTTGTTATTTAGTTTTTTTCACTTTGCATAACTTAAGCATCATCATGCTACATGTTAATTTGCTGTTAAGTCCCTGTCTATCAGTCTAGAACCTCATCCACCATTCCAATGTATTTGAAAAAGTGTGCCTTGCACACGAAAGCTCACGCCTTGAATAAACCTTTGTTGGTCTTAAATTGGACTCTGAGTTTGTTCTACTGGACTCTAAATTTGTTCTGCTGCTTCAGACCAACACAGCCGACCATCTGGATCTATCTTAATGGCTTACGTTTTTGTACATTTTATTTTGTATAGTTGTTGACTTTCTGGTTCCATCCCAGATATGGAAAAGCCTCGCTACTTGCTATTGAATGCAAGAGTTTAGACTTGTGATACAATCAGCTAATCAAAGCAGTAATGGCGGAAAAGATGGTTTGTTTTAATGATGCTTAGTTTGTGAAACCAGAACTGATTCCACCTGGAGGATTTTCCCTGTTCCAGCCAATGTTCCCTCTAAGCTGTGGAGTCTTGTGAGCAAAAATTCTACTTTGTGAACTACTAGCATTAAAGTTGTGAGCGAGCCATTTGGCTACTGCATAAATTAGTTTGTTCTGGAGCCATCCTTCCTGAGCGAAGACAAAAATGTGTGAGCCGGAGGCTAAAAAATTGTGAGCTAGCTCACACTAACTCAGCTTAGAGGGAACACTGGTTCCAGCCAACTGACTCATGTGCTTTTCTTTTTCTTTCCGTATGATATTGTCCTCCATTCCTGCATAACTCCCAACTCATAACTCCATTCCTGCCTGTCCTTTCCACACAAAAATCCTGCTTCTTTTAAACCTAAAAAAAAAAAAGATGCAGACTTTTTAAATTTAATCACTGAATGCATACCTTGGCCTTCTCAGATAACCATTCACCATTTGGTCTGCCTTCACACAGGCTGGGGTCTCCACCTTTGTCCTCTCCCCTGCCTCTCCTGCAAGGACCTGGCTGCTACCCCAGCCTGCATTGTGGCAAAGCCTTCCTGTGCCATCAACTCCTTTGCCATGAGTTGATGGCACTGCAAGGGCAAGATGCCAACCACTAGCCTTCTTGGGCACCTTTCACCATTCTTGGTGGAGTCAGCTGCTTCCTCAGACACCCGCAAAAGAAGCTGCTTATTTTTTCTTCATGTTAACCCTTTCCCCCCATCAAACCAAAAGAAATCACCATCCTATGACTTGTTGAACTGCACCCTAGATGCTCCAACTCGACTAAACACCCACGGGTCCTACAGAGTACAAGCCTACAGTTGACGGCCCTAATCTACCCAAATAGGACCATCTCATCCCATACTATCCAGCCCATCAATTAAGATCTGCCTCTGTCTCAGGTCCTGCTCTCTGTACCCCCACCTTCAGAGGTGAGGAAGGTGGCGACAAGAGACAGGTGGCACCTTGCCTCTGGAACGCCCTAGGCACCTACTTTTTGTTCTTTTGGGCACCAGGTTGAAACACATCCTTTCCCCCAGGCTTTTCACTAGGGGTTTTATGTTATCACCGTTTTAATGGTCTGCACTTGTTTTATGGATAGTTTTTATGCTGCTCATGTCCAATGTGTTGTGTTTTTATATTGTGGTTTTTAATTGTAAACTCTGAAAGGTGGCATAGAAAATGATGATGATGATGTAGTGTGTGTAGTATAGCCAGGAGATCCAAAGATTGTCTGGCAGCTAAAAGTTCTAGCTCTTTTTTTGTGTTATGCTCCACTAAGGTAGCATAGAAATATTAGAAATAAACAACATATAAACACTCCCATCCATATGCCCAGCCTCTTCTCCTCGCCAGGGGAGACACTTGCAGCAGCTACCACATAATTCCCCAGTTTTTTCTCATATTTCACAGCCATTTCCCCCCACTCCCCATCTCTGCCAGCCATGTATCTGGAGCATTCACCCAAGTGGAGTCCCACCAATGTATCAAAGCTCTCCCACAAACCTCAGCTGTTTCCATTTACTGAATGAGTGCACAGGGGTACTTCATCCAGTCTGTCCATTTTTCGTTCTCCTCCTCTTCCAAGGAGCTCAGGGCAGCTTATGTGGGTCTCTCCACATTTTACCTCCACAAAGCAAGACTTTTAAAACGTCTAAATAATGCTTCTTTTGTGAGCTGTGGTCTTGCATGGCTGTAGCAGATCTTTTGGCGCACTCCAGAAATAGAGCTCTCCACACCTTTCCATTGTCGTTGTCCAGCCTGATAACAAATATTGCAAAATGGCCCTTCAGTGCCAGGCTGTCGTGTTGGGTAGCTCTAAGATGTGCGCTTCACTTGCTTTCCTGCTTAATGGGATGAGGCAGCTGGTCCTTGGGGATTTGCAGGCAGTCCACTAATGGATTTGGGTCTGAGCAGCTGTCCCAAATAGAATACATCAGAGCTTAAAGTGCAGGAGCCAAACTCCAAAGATATTTAAGGAGACAACAGTTCTCTCCATCCTCAACTTTGTATGCTCAGGGAGGAATGGGAGGGGGGGAGGGTTGTCTCTCCAACCTGATTCTATGCATGCCATTGAGTTCACTTACTTCCAAGTAGGTATGCCAGGCTGTGCCTGGCAACTGGCAAGAAGGTTGTGGGCAGGGAAAGGGGGGGCATGATGTTGGCTGCAGTGTTACATCAGTTCTGGTAAAAACTTGGAAGTGGCATACGGTAGGCTCTAGGAACCATCGGAAACGTTATGGTTTTACCATAGAGTTTTTACTGGAAATGACACAAAGCTGCATGCAACGCTTCCGGTTTTCTAACTTTTCTCCCACTGCCACTCGTAGTGGTGGTGGGCAATGGGGGCTGGGGATCCCTCACTCCCACTGGTGCTTAGCAGCCTGACTCTAAAGTAAGTCTGCTTATTATTATTATTATTATTATTATTATTATTATTATTAACCCCGCCCACCCCCAAAGGGCTCTGGGCGGCTTACAGAGTATCGTGTGTACACACACTTACTAGAATCCTAACCATGGCCACAAATTCAGGGGGATGGGAACCCTACCAGATACCCTCCGAAGGCTTTTTCCGCAGATGTTCTTGCTTCTCCTTCCGTCTTTTTTCCGGGCAGTCATATGCCTCTTCACGCAGTTCTTTCCTTAGAGGGGCTTAGGAGTATGGAGAGATCTAGAGCAGTAAAGGAACCTTAAAGTCAACAAGAAGTGATCAAATTTCAGTGAGTGACAAATGAGCGACCAGTCAAAGTTGAGTAAAACTTGGTTAGGTTTGTGTCTCTCAGAAACATGGAGCTGGAAGGTGCCTCAAAGGGTCATCTACTCCAGGCCCCCGGCACAAGGCAGGAAATTCACAACTACCGCCCCCCCCACTCCCCAGTGGCCCCTGTTCTCTGCCCCGTGCTGATCCCTCTTCCACGACAGGTGTGAGTCCCGGGCTGACCTTGGTCTCTTAGCCTGAAGGACCCTAATCCAGAGCTGATTGGCTAGCAGTGAAGATTCCCCCCCCTTTTTTATTAAATTTTAAAAAACAGTTAAAAATAAGAAAGCAAGTCCTGATGTTTATGAAGAGCAAACAGGGAAGTGTCGATTTTATGTGCTGCTGACGCTTCTAAGAGGGGCATCCATTCTTCTTGGAGATTGTCAGGAATGGGTTGATTCTTGGATCGAAGGATACTAGTGGATACTTTGTCCTGTAAAAAAAAGTCCCACAGTTTCAGGTACCAGTCGCTCAATTGCAGCGTCATCTTAGATTTCCAGTGAAATGCAATGACATTCCTAGCAGCCGCAAGACATAGTTCTATTAGCTCTTTCATAAGCCCATTGGGGGCAGGATGACTCCAATGATTCAGGAGGAACAAAGAGGGTTGCAGTTGGAGGGCGCAACCTGTGATTACAAATATTTGGGCCTTGACTTCTCTCCAGAAGGCCTGGACCTTGGAACACTCCCACCAGCAATGAATATAGGTGCCACGGCCTCCACAGTTTTTGGCTAGCAGTGAAGATGACCCACTTTGCCTTTGAGAGTCCTTCCTCCCTTCTCCTTTTTGCTTCTACTGTAGTTTTTATACTGTGAGCTGCTCTGGGTCCTCATTGGGGGGGAAAGAGGAATATAAATAAACGAATGAATGAAAATGGTGACTATCTGCCTTTGCAGAACAAGGCGGGGGGGGGGGAGCCTGGTCCTCTGTGTGGGCTGCCCGGTGCGCAGTTGTCACATCTGCCCTTCTCCCCTTTCTCTCTTCAGCTCGACGTCATGAATGCCATCAGCAGCCCTGAGGATGTGAAACCTCTGCCAAACGTACAGGGAGTGGGAGCCATGAGTTACGCGTCCACCAGCCCTGGATCCCTGACCAAGCACATCTGTGCAATCTGTGGGGACAGGTCGTCAGGTACTACACCCAACCTCCATTGTCGTCTCCAAATAGAACCTTTAAAAAGGCAGACACTGTCCTAAGAAGGAATGTCACGAAGATTTCCCCATCTTTACCATGCCTGCGGTATACCTTGTTCCTTATACATTCCTTTCCTTATCCATGCTTTGCTCTTTTTCTGCACCCAGTTTGTGAAGCACTCCCCAGCCACTGCTTCTGTTATATGCATGGCTCCATCGAAGTGTTATGTACGTGGACCGCCACCAGGGGTCCGCGGCTATAGTCAAGAGCTTAGCTCCTCTAGACAATAGGAACCTAGCATCCTAGTTTCCCCAGCATGAACCAATAGAAGCTTTGGTGGGAAATTCAAACCCTCCAATGGGACTGTGGGTGTGCCGGGTGGGTGTGTATATAGTTGGCCTTGCAGGGGCGGTTTGCAGTTCCAGTACTAAGTACAATAAACGTCTGCAAGAGCATGTCATTGTCCAAGTCCTCCATGCAGCGAACCCAGTACTTTCAGTGGCGACGAGGATGGGATCCCGCTGAGCCAGGCCTGGCTCGCATCCCAGCGCAGCACTGAGCTTCGATCCAGCCGATGCAACTGTGCCCCATATCGCTCCCAAGCAGCAACCCACTGCTCCCCGCTCTGCGCCAAGCCATGGCCTCCGCTCGAGGAAATCTGGAGATCTTCGATCCAGCCCATCCCAAACTCATCGAAAGTCTTCTGGAGCCTCCTCTGCAAGCTGCCAACATTGCTGCCCAGTCAGCCCATGACCCTCTCCTCTCCCGGGTCTTGGGCTGGGTGGTGAGGGGTTGGCCTACGTTGTCCCTGGGCCCTGAGTTCACGGCTTTCAGTACCCAGAAAGATGAACTCTCGGCCCTGAAAGGGTGTCTTCTGTGGGAAGACTGAGTCGTGGTCCCCAGCACCATGAGACAGCGGGTACTCACGGCACTCCACAAGGCGCATCCAGGCATCGTAAGAAGGAAGGCACTGGCCCGGAGCTATGTGTGGTGGCTGGGAATTGATGCAGAGATCGAGTCCTGGGTCCGGAGGTGCCAAACCTGCCAGGAAGTTCGGCCCAACTCACCAAGCGCACCAACACAGCCGTGGGAGTCAACCCGCAAACCATGGTCCCGGCTTCACATCGATTTCGCTGGACCATTCCAGGTACTGTTGTTCTTAGTAACGGTTGACTCCTACTCGAAGTGGCTGGAGAGCAGTCCCATGTCCATAACTTCTATGAAGGCCATGATCCGGTCCCCCTGCCAGATCTTTGCTACACATGGGCTGCCGGACACGATAGTCTCTGACAACGGGGCAGCCTTCACGTCAGCGGAGTTCCAGGAATTCCTCCAAAGGAACCTGATACGGCACATCCGATCTGCACCTTTCCACCCTGCAACCAACAGCCAGGCCGAGAGGATGGTGCAGACCGCGAAGGAAGCCCTCCGCAGGATAACGGAAGGGGACTGGGAGTTCCAGCTAGCCTGCTTTCTCCTGACCCAGAGGACGACACCTAACCCCGTCACCGGCCACAGCCCTACAGAATTATTGATGGGCCAAAGACCCATGACTTTGTTGGATCGGCTACACCTGGACTCCAAGAGGATGGTGGAACAGTGAGAGGCTCTGAGAGGGTTCTTCCCGGGTGACCCAGTGTTCATCCGGAACTACAAAATGGGAAATCCATGGTTGGCAGGACGAGTGATCAAAGTCACGGGCCCGGTATCTTACGAGGTATCGACGGTAGATGGCAGGCTCTTAAAGAAGCACTTGGACCAACTGAGGCAGCGTCAGCTCCCAGAGGCAGGAGAACCAACACCGTTGGCAGCAGGAACCGGCACCTACATACCCGAGCCCAGTAGTCAGCCCGAAACCCCAAGCATCGAGGAGGCCTCTTCCAGGGAACCACCATCAGAACCAATGGAACCGGAGACACTTCAGCCGCCACAACAGGCACACAATAAACGTGTGCAAGAGCATGTCGTTGTCCGAGTCATCCATGCGGTGAACCCAGTACCTTTCAGGAAGTACCATTGTCTCCTCAATGCTCAGTGGATTCCTTACAATGCTCAGGTTGAGTAGGTTCATATGGGAAATCCTTCACATCAACGTAATATGGTGTTGGGTGCTTTAATATTAGCTAGTCCTGAAACAGGACCACCCAAAAATCTAAGACCATTTTCTCTCAAGCTCTCTTTCTTAATCTAATCAATCATCTAGAGACATTTCACCTAGAGACATTTCCTTGCATTTAACAGTATTAGGGAACTGGTGGTTTATGGATTTTAATTATCTATCTATCTATCTATCTATCTATCTATCTATCTATCTATCAATCATCTATCAATCTATCTATCATCAATCTATCTATCATCTATCATCATCTATCATCTATCTATCTATCTGTCTATCTGTCTATCTATCATCAGTCCATCTCTCTCATCTATCATCTGTCTATCCATCCATTCATCCATCCACCCATCTCTATCCATCTATCCATCTCTCCCCCCTCTAACTTTCTTTCTTTCTATTATCT